AAAGTGAATGAATATTAAACAACATATAAGCCTCAAAAAAGCCTCAGTAGTCCCAGTTAAGCCGCAAACCAGTTAATCCGCCCCCGGATAATCGAGAGTTGACTGTAGTTACAACCCAATTTATGATATCCTAATAAAAACAAATCAGACGCAAGAAATATCCCAAAATCACCTACTTATCTTCTCAGAACACCATCCCTACCCGCAACCCCCCCCACCACCCCCACTAATACCCTACAGGAACCAACCGAACAAGTAAGACACATCAGTAGCCATCACAACAAGGACCGTAACAGATCCAGCAACATCAGAGGATGCGGAAGAACAGCGAGACCTCCAAAAAGTGAAAAGTGCAATCAATATAATAAAATTGAACTTTAATTCATGAACTTTTAACCAATAATATAATTAAACTAGTTAAAGTGAACTTGACGCAGTGATGAGCGTAAGTAGGAAGTGACTGAATAACAAGTGAAAGTGAAAGCATAACTAGTGATCTGAATCGAAATTCGATTCATAAATTTTAAATTTTGACATTTAGAATAATATTTTAACTTGTGTTTTGTGAGTGAGCTTGATATATTATTGAGCGTGGACCTGAATAAGATACAGGATTGAATAAGTGAGAAGACGAATGTGATTGCGTGTAATTATACAGCTGTGTTCGTACACTTGAGGATGACCTCTTGAGGTCGAAACATGTAGTGTAATAATAATAATAAAAATATGTTGTGTGGTCGGTAAAACTGACTCTAATATTGATTAAATACACAACAGGATGCAAAAAACAATTAAAGATCATGAAGATGTTTAACGTCGGTAAAACTCAAGTGTATGAGATTCTAATGAAGAAAACGGAAATTTTAAAGCGGTGGGAAACTTGTGCTAATGGAAAAATAAAAAGAGAACTTAAGAAAACTGCAATCGAAAACGTTAATGAAATAGTGTGTGAGTGGTTTGTCAGTGTGAGGGCGAAAAATTATTAATGCAATCTTTGCTCGTCAATACAGATTCTACATCACCTCCCTCTGAACTTGCAAGAACTGTCTCGGTTCTAGACATGGTTATTTGGCTAAGTCAAGCAGTAAAGAAGTTGTTACCAGAAACTGTGACAAAGTGTTTCAAAAAAGCAGGATTTTCTGTGGTAGAAGTTACTCCTAGTGTAGAAAATGACAACGACCAGGACTTACAACATTGCATGAATGAAGCTGTTTTCAGTAACTGCAATGCTGAGGACTACATCAACATATATGTAGACATAGACATAGACAAAGACGTGCAAACAGAACCAGACACAATGGATATGGATGTACAGGGTGCGGCAGCATAATTTGCTGATTTGAATTTGGTGCCAGGAAGCAAGGTTTGGCCGTTAGAGGGTACAGATGGTCTCATTTGAATGGGTGGGTAGGGAAGTTTGTTCTTCCTTCCACTTTAGTACCGAGAATGCGTTGGATGAAGGAACAGCATGCGTTTGCCGTAGAGGCTTACTTTTTCTAACGGTCGCTCAATCGTCACCACGCAGCGAGCATTCCGTGCGCACTTCAATATTTCTGCCCGAGCTCGTGTTCCTGGTTGTCAATTGACTGTTACGTGGGCAAACACATTCGGGAGAACTGGCAGTGTGGAAAAGAGAAGATCAGGGGAACGGCCTGTCAGATCACTCCAAAACATCGATGGTAAGGCAGTCTTTTTTGCGATCTCCTCAGCAAGCAACCATGCAGCTGCCCTTGGAATGTCTGATCGTTCTGTGAGGCGAATTCTTCATGATGACCTCCACTTTCATCCTTACAAGTTGGCTGTGGTGCAAGAACTCACTGAACGCGATTTTGCTGCTCGGCAACATGCATGTGAAGCGTTCCTTGAAACTTTGCCTGATGATGCGCTTGTGTTCTTTAGTGGCGAGGCTCATTTCCATCTTTCTGGATGCGTGAACAAGCAAAACATGCGCTACTGGAGTGATAACAATCCCCAAGAACTTCACGAGAGGCCCCTTCATTGTGAACGTGTAACTGTTTGGTGTGCACTGTCAAGAGCAGAGATTATTGGTCCCTACTTTCTTGAAGAGAATGAGGTTGCAGTTACAGTGAATTCTGTTTGCTATGTGAAAATGATCGAAGAATTTTTTTTGCCAAGTCTTGATGAAACGGATGTTGGGGATGTGTGGTTTCAGCAGGATGGAGCCATGTTGCTGCTCGGCAACATGCATGTGAAGCGTTCCTTGAAACTTTGCCTGATAATGCGCTTGTGTTCTTTAGTGGCGAGGCTCATTTCCATCTTTCTGGATGCGTGAACAAGCAAAACATGCGCTAATGGAGTGATAACAATCCCCAAGAACTTCACGAGAGGCCCCTTCATTGTGAACGTGTAACTGTTTGGTGTGCACTGTCGAGAGTAGGGATTATTGGTCCGTACTTTCTTGAAGAGAATGAGGTTGCAGTTACAGTGAATTCTGTTTGCTATGTGAAAATGATCGAAGAATTTTTTTGCCAAGTCTTGATGAAATGGATGTTGGGGATGTGTGGTTTCAGCAGGATGGAGCCACAGCACACACGGCACGAACTGCAATGTGTGTTTTGTGGGAACACTTCCCTGGGTGCCTGATTTCTTTGAGGGGCGATCTTCAGTGGCCGGCACGCTCACCCGATATAGCCCCTTGTGACTATTTCTTATGGGGGTATCTGAAATCCCTCGTGTACACCGATCGTCCAAGGACCCTTGCTCACCTGAAGGAGAATATTCGCCAAGCCATAGCCAACATACCCATTGCTATGCTGGAAAGAGTCGACCAAAACTTCAGAATTCAGGCAAATCAGTGTATGACCAATGGGGGGGCACAACTTGTTGGATACAATTTTAAAACAGAGTAAACGTAAATTTCCAATGTTGTAGAATATGGAGTTTAAAATAATTAAGAATACCTATAACATCTTTTGTTTTATTGACTCTTCAAATCAGCAAATTATGCTGCCACACCCTGCATTAGTTGAGAATTTTAGAGAAAATCGAAAAGGAATAGAGGAGGAGGAAGAGGAAGCAGAGGAAAATGACATTGAGATAGAGGAAGAAAAGTGTACAGTGAAGACTTATCAGGATGCTGCCAACAGTTTAAAGGTACTGCAGGAGTTTGCCATGCAACAGAATGATTCAGACATGCTTACCCTAATTTCTCAAGCTAAAGTGTTTGTGGAAAGTCAGGCAGCCATGAGAGCAAACTGCATGCAAACAACTCTGCTGGAGTTCTGGTAAAATTATAAAAAGTGAGTACTGCAATTTTTTCCTGTTCAGTGTAATGTTTGCATGTGTTCAATGATTATAGTGTGAATAAATTAATGAGCATGTTGCTTTGTTTTGTCTCAAATACGTTTATGTCCTGGTTCAGTTATTATAGTATACCTTGATTAAACGGAAACCTGGCTTCAGCGGAAATTTTTTCTGGTCCCTTCAGATTCCATTTAAGACAGGTTTTAGTGTATCAACCAGTCAGTGAGATGCAGAGGAAGAATTTCTGTTTACTGTGAGAATCACACAAATTAATTAATATAATATGTAAGCACAATGTAGTTTTTCTAATGTTACAGCACACAGCACATATCTACCATTGTACTCACTCAGCATAAACCTGCCGTAACACTCAGTAAGGTGAAGCACCTTCCTCTTAGAATTCTCCTTTTCTGTGTTACTGTTTAACCACATGAGGTAATTATATCTTGTCAAGATGCCTATAATGTCACTCTTCATTACAGCAATAGCTAAAGCATGCAAATCCAGTTACTTAGATCTCACTGGCTTGTGCAGAAGCCATACAAGCAGGAACCTGCCTTCCTGCGATGAATGTGTGAACACAACCCGCATGATGATTACAGTCTCCTCACGTGTGACTCTATACAGGCATCAAACTTTTGGAAGAAAATGCTCAAACTACCTTCAGTGCAGCAGAAGTGACTTCAGTCTTGAAGATGCAGGAACCAGGTTCCTCCAGAATGTTAATATCTATCAAACTAAATGGTGTCACATCCCATGAGACCATAACCTTACTATTCACCATCATGAAAATGTCACATCTCAGAAACTGCATACTGTTGTCACACAGACTCACAAAGCTGATTCTGCACATTCAAACCACAGCACAGACATCAGCCAGAGTGCACTGGAATGTTGACGAGGACATATCTAACCTGGATATCAGCTGTGCTGCCGCCTTGTACAGTTTCTGGTGCACTGTCATGTGTAGCTTCCACCTCTTCCAACTCAGCCTGTGCAATAGATCATAATAATTACTGACACTTATTGTCTGCTCAATCCACACCATTGCTCAGGTAGGCAGTCAGTTGCCAGCATCTGACTGTGGAAGCCTGTATTCAATCCAGGGGTGGTCAACATGGCGTTTGTGGCAGACAAAGTGACATTGGGGCAGGTGTCTACCAGTGTTCCATTCTTTTTCATGTCATCCAGAACTGTTAAAATGAGCCAACTTGTGGCATAAGTAATAAGAGACTGAGTCTCACCCTACCACAAGAATTGTGAAGCCAGCAAAGACAGCCATTGCTAGGGGAATGTCTCTGCAAACAACAGCTGCTGCTAGGCAATGATGGCTCAGTGGCAATCATGTGGTCATGACAACAGACACAAACGCAACAATGAAGTAATTGTGGAAAACGTGTTTTCCATGTGGTCCATGCCAAGATGTTATAAGCAGTGTTATATTTTAGCGTCCTGTTGCACTGATTTAAGTCCATGATTTATTTAAACCGTCTTGCAGTGCATACACTCATTTATCTCCTTCTTTCCCTCGCACTACATGTTTCGGCATAATAATGCCATCTTCAGGTGCTTACTCATCCACGCCAAACTAGTTCATTGCATGCCTTGTCCTCATATTAAAATAACTAAAATATATATCTATCATACACATTGACAAACGTCAAACGTTAAAAATATTAAAATTGTTCAGGATACCACATCGCTACGTCGCACCTCACTACACCAGTCACGCCCATTCTCCTCTGTTGGAGCACTCCTTCACTATCATGTGTGTGTTGTTATACACACATGTTATACACACGCAGTCACAGGAGCAAGACACAACAAAAGCACAACACACACATGATAGTGAAGGAGTGCTCCAACAGAGGAGAATGGGCGTGACTGGCGTAGTGAGGTGTGACGTAGCGATGTGGTATCCTGAACAATTTTAACATTTTTAACGTTTGACATTTGACAATGTGTATGATAGATATATATTTTAGTTATTTTAATATGAGGACAAGGCATGCAATGAACTAGTTTGGCGTGGATGAGTAAGCACCTGAAGATGGCATTATTATGCCGAAACATGTAGTGCGAGGGAAAGAAGGAGATAAATGAGTGTATGCACTGCAAGACCGTTTAAATAAATCATGTTATAAGCAGGACCAGCTAGCTGTTGCAGTTAGTTCGAGAACTGCTGCAGTTATGTTGTTGTGAGCTGTTACTGTTAGAAGCTGGCAGCTTAGGCCAGGGACAGTTTGGAACCCGGAGGAAGGCGAACATCTGCCATCAGAAGCCACGTTACCAAGCAACAGCTAGTGAAGACATGACTCGTGTGTGTGTGTGTGTGTGTGAGTAAAATAGTAAAACGGCAAAGTGTAGTCATACACTGTATCAAACAATGCAATAAATTCAGTCATCAATCAAACCTCACCACACTCCATCACATGACAATAACAACCAAAACACTGATATTCAAGGGAGAAGATTAACATTGTTCATGTCATTCATCTTGGTGCCTTAAAGGGGAGACTGAGGGAAGAGGAACGTTAGGGCGACATGCTCTGTTCTTTACTATCATCCAAAATAACATTTCCACATTGTACCCACAGTACGAGTAGTATGCAAACATGTAACAGCAGACTGGATGCCTCTGTGCAGAAGTAACAAAACAATCCAAACCTGGGAAAAACGGTTATTTCTTATATTATCAAGCGCTGTGACAAACAGGAGAAACACAACTGTCCACCAGAGCCTAACAAATAAAGGGCGAGAACAAGCAGTCAGATACGTATACCAGGAAAACAGAAATTGTCTGAATCAGAAAGGAGTGCATGTCACATGCTCAATTTCAACCCAACTGAACATACATAAGTGACATATGTAGATATACTCTTTTTCCCTTATCTGTGGGCAAACAGTCTAATGGAGCATGCAGCATCTCTGGCTCACCTTCAACAGGGCATACTCTTTATCGAAGTGATCAGCAGTTCCTGTCTGTTCTGATGAGCCTTTATCAGAGTGACTGGCATCTCCTGCCTCTGTAGGTAAGCCTCTCTCCTTCATTTGTTTCTGGATGCTCATCAGGTTTTCCCTCGTTAACAATATCAGTTCTTCAATGTCTGACTGCAAGGAGACAAGGCTGTCACAGTCAGGACCTGGTGGTGACGCAGCAACTGCCAGCTGCACCTGTGACAACTGAGACACAGAATATCTGCAGTCAGCACCTGTGAATATCTAAATACCTGGGGAACAGTGATAAGAAACTAAAGCTTAGTTAATTACAAAATTAAGAAAATTACATGTGCAGGAACTGACATGTCATAATTCAACTGAAAGACTCTTACTGACTCGCCTGCTTTACAAGATACCAACCAACAAATGAGCTTCTGAAAACAGCAATTTCATTAATTTTGAAGGAAGAACAAGAGTACTGTATGTCTGAAAACCAAAGTTTGGCAAAATATGGACCTAAGAAGGATGTTCACCATGTGAAGTCTGCATTGTTGGAGACACACATCAAAACTATGAGGAGCCAGAAGAGAATCTCAACACACTCGGGACCCAGGGGATATACACAATCTTCGGGAAAATATCTCAAGTGCAAATGATGTTAAAAAAGAAACTGAAAACTTATCTCTTATCTCACTCCTGTTACTGCATACAAAACTGTATTTCATTAAAAAGTTTTTGAAGACTGTTAATTTTTTACAAAGACCTTTTTGACACTAATTCCTTCTCTTTCAGTAGCTGTTATTTTTTGAGGGCAGGGAAGGGTTATTTGCTGCTGGTTTCAGTACTGGATGGTAGGATGGCTAAAGAACTAGGAAGGGTTTGGTAGGAAGCAGCCATGGCCAAGTACTATCCTAGCATTTCATTGGAGGGACCAAGACAAACCACGATAAATGTCAGTGAGGACAGACAGCTGAGATTGAAATCAAGTGCCTCATAAGTACAAGTCTAAAACACTACTTTCAGATCAACCTATTTGGTATTTGGCATAACATAATATCACTGTGGAACAAGATGACTGTAAATAGCTCTAACAACCAATTTTATACTTAAACTTACAGCAATATGACATGTCCTAAATCCTTGGCATAGTCTTGTATATGATCGACAAAATGTGAATAAACTCTGTTCTGGATCTGAGGTTCTCACAGCGGTGGTCATGAAGAGTTCTAGCTTCTGGGATATGATGTCATGTAGTCCACTGAAAGTCAGCCAACGTTTCAGAGAACATGTCACTTCTATCTTCAGGGTGAAGGGCTTGCATTAACCCAGAAGATGGAAGTGACATGTTCTCTGAAACATCTGTTGACTTTCAGTGGACTACATGACATTACATCCCAGAAGATAGAGCTCTTCATAGTCACTGTAACAACCTCAAATATCAGAATGAAGGTCACGTTGCAGCTGGCAAACTTACTGACAACACTGGATTCTGAAACTTACAACTCACATTCCTGCAAAAGTGTTAAATAGATTTCATGGCCACAGAACAGTTGTCTTTATGCAACTGACTTGACTGATCATAAGAAAGTAAGTAAAGTTAAGGGCCAATGAAAGTGTCACTGGTTCACTCAGTGGTCATGAACACTCACTCCATGGGGCTAATAATTTTACAGGGGACTACAATATTTGCAGTCATGTATGTGTGTGTGTATCATCATTATCCTTTCTAGCATTAGATCTACTAAGACCTACTACAGATATTACACACAGAACCCTTCCATCATTTCACTAGTCTTCCCAAACTTTTTATTTTTGATTAATATTTTAAGATCCTTTCTTGGAATCCTGTCAACTTGTTCTATCCAGTTTCTTCTAAACTGTTCTATAAAGTCTGTTACTTGTGGAATTTATAGTTCACTCATAATTTATTCATTTATTTCAAGGCCTGAAAGGCTGCTTCCTCAATGAAGTCTATCCATGAGACAAGTCTTCATAGAGGGCAACTAAATTTACCTTCTTTTTTACTATATTTACATTATTAGAAGTCACGATTTGACCATGTCTGAAGCATTAAACTTCTCTAATGATACAGTACGCAGCCTAACAAACAATTTATTGGCTGGTTGCATTAATACTGATAACTTATTCGACTGAAATGTAATTAGTGTACACTTGTTTTTCTTTTCGTTTCTTACAAATTTCAGAACGTAATCAATAACTGAGTTTACAGTATCAAGTGGCGTACATATAAGAGTAAATATTACAAATGTTTTATATGAATGGTATAATATTTCACAATTAATGTATTTGTGCATCTGATACTTACCTGGGTTTCATACTGAGAAAGTGCTTGGAGAAGGGTCGTAACGTCTTCAGCCATTGTTTAATTCAATAATTAATTATTATGAGTAAAAACTTACTCCACGTCAACTTTGAAAGCTAGGAAATATATTTATTATTAAAAACGCACAAACTGGTGAACAACTGCCACACTGAACAAACAGAATCATTCCACTCCCCCACGGTTACAATCAGTACAGCTCGGTACAATACAGTGTGTCGTGACCATAAATAGTAGCCATGAAGTTCAATGTCGTTTTATATTTCATGTGACAGTCTACGGGTTATGACACCGTGCAGTTGTCATCCGTGGATACCAATATTTCGGTGGAACATATTGTCTCCCTCTTTAGAACTTTCATAAGGTCCTTTCACTGTTTTCACTGATCCCTATCCTGAGCGATCCTGAGCCAGCTGAACCGTTCACAATCCTCAGTCTACTTCATGCAGATGCATCATCTTTATGGCTACTCCAAGGTAGTCGAATTGATTGATCTCTTTCATTAGGACTCTTCAACCAGAACTCTAGATGCAATTTTCATTTCTGCCATGCTTTCCACATGCCCTACACATATCGGCCTCCTTCATTAGGCTATCGTAACATGTAACAAATTATAAAAATTGTAAAGCTCTTCATTGCGTATTTCCTTCCAGTCTCTTGCCACTTCCACCCTCTTATTCCACACTACACGGCGTCATATCTTAGACGGCAAATCATTTTCATAGCTCACATAGCACTAAGTTGGAGCAGAGTGGTCTGTTTCACGAACAGCACTTTAAACCAGGGGAAAGAGCCTCCAGTACATATTGGTTAGACGGCTGAGTAGACCTTAGAACCGGTCTGGACGACGTGAAGAAGAGAAAATTCTTAACCCTACCGAGACTGATACGTCTGTATACGTATTTATATCTGCATTAGAAACGAGTATTATAGTTCTATTATGACATGTCCTACTACACCCTTGGCTTAGGCCTTTGAAGGATCTTTGGAATGTAAATAAATTCTCTTCTATGCTCTAAAGTTCTTTCATGTTTTCTTCATCTTGAATTTAACCTATATGACGTGGATGACGAGAATGAATCGTACTTAGGAGCTCAGGAGAGGAGCACTCAGGAGCTCACGAGCTCAGGAGGGCACGCGCAGGAATGCAGCCGATGAGCATACTTTACATGAGGTAGGTTGAGAAAGAATGGTATGTAGCTGTATACAGAAGGAAGTGATGTAATTGTAAAGTATTTGTATATGGTAAAGGAAGGAAATTTTTCAATAATATAATATTACTTTAGAGAAGAAGGAAGATTAATTTTGTTAAATTGCATAACGCAAATGCTACTTTTCGATGAAACCAGCTGATCGTAGCCATTGTACTCAATTCAGGCAAGCCGTGACCCCAATGCTACTGCTCATAATATTATGTTGTAGTATGCTGTTGCATTTTCATTTGGTATTAATTAGTTCTACAGTCTCGCATGCAATACTAATGCTCCATAACAATTTTATTTTAAAAACCTAAGCAGCGATACAAAAAACAGCGGTTTACTCGTCCATTATTTTTAAGACCTGATGATTACCACATTGGTCGAAACATGTGTAAAACTTTTAAGTAAATAGCTTTTAATTACTATTAAAGAGCAGTAGTATTTCACGTGTAACTGTAGAACTAATTGATACCCAATGCTAACGTTTGTTTGACCTAGGTTTGTAGGACATGTTTTCAGGGCATTCAGAGCCACAGTCAGTAGTGTCACTTTGCTGTAAGGAGGTCAAGACAGAGCCCTAGCACACTTACATGCTAGACAGAGGTGAGCAGTACACCAAGATGGGACAGTGGCCTGCTGATGTGGGCATAGTTGCCATGGAACTGATCTTTCCATCACAATATGTGGATCAGGCTGAATTGGAGGCCTATGACAAGGTGGCAGCAGGGAAGTACACTGTGGGGCTGGGGCAGGCCTGCATGGGCTTCTGCACGGATCGTGAGGACATCAACTCACTCTGTCTCACTGTGGTTTGGAGGCTTATGGAGAGGAACAGCATCTCGTACTCCAGCATCGGGCGCCTTGAGGTGGGGACAGAAACTATCCTGGATAAGTCCAAGAGTGTTAAGACTGTGTTGATGCAACTGTTTGAGGAGAGTGGCAACACTGATATTGAGGGCGTGGATACCATAAATGCCTGCTATGGGGGTACTGCTGCGCTCTTCAACAGTGTGGCCTGGGTTGAGTCCAGTGCATGGGATGGCCGCTTTGCCCTGGTGGTGGCAGCTGACATTGCCGTGTATGCTAAGGGAAATGCGAGGCCCACAGGAGGAGCCGGGGCCATTGCCATGTTGGTAGGGCCAAATGCACCCCTGGTTCTGGAACGCGGTGTGCGTGCCACACACATGAGGCATGTGTATGACTTCTACAAGCCAGACCTGATGTCAGAGTACCCAACTGTGGATGGGAAGTTGTCAATTCAGTGCTATTTGAGTGCCTTAGACCAGTGCTACCAGCTGTTTTGCTCCAAGATCCAGAAGCATAATGAAGAGCGCTTTGGGTTGAAGCATCTGGATGCTGTCCTGTTTCATGTTCCATATTGCAAGCTGGTACAGAAATCATTGGCTCGACTCATGCTCAATGATTTTGTTCGAGCATCAGAAGAAGAACGGTCCATTCAGTATCCTGGACTAGGGGCTTTCAAGAATGTAAAGCTGGAGGACACGTATTTTGATCGAGACATTGAGAAAGCATTCATGACGCTGAGTAAAAGTGCTTTTGAGGAAAAGACGCAGCCATCACTGTTAGTGGCAAATCAGGTTGGCAACATGTATACCCCATCCCTATATGGAGGCCTTGTATCATTGCTAATCAGCAGAGGTGCCCAGGAGCTGGCAGGAAAGCGTGTGGCTTTGTTCTCTTATGGGTCAGGTTTTGCCTCATCCATGTTCTCCCTATGTGTATCTTTGGATGGCAACCCAGGGTCACCTCTGAAGCGCCTTGTGGATAATTTGAAACATGTCAAACCACAGCTTGAACTACGCCACAAGATTCCCCCTGAAGAGTTCAACAGCATCATGGAGACACGTGAGAACAACCACCACAAGGCCCCCTACACACCACAGGGCTCACTGGATGTACTGTTCCCTGGCACATGGTACCTGGATAAAGTGGATGAGATGCACCGCCGCTCATATAAGCAGGTGCCCCACAATGGGCTCTCTACCTGAGGATTCTTCTGCTTCAGTATTTCACAAATGTGCCCATCCTTATTGCTGAACATCATACTCTGCAGAAGTGCAGTTTTAGTGTGTAGGTCCAGGAACAAGGATGTCTCTTGCCTCTTATGAATATGCCATTTTAAATATTTGTTTGGTTTCATCAAATTAAGAGAAGCCACATAAGTAACATTTAACCACATATATATATAATACGCAGATTACTATTCTGCATACCTAAGGTACCCTGTGTAAACATGTTAATTCTGAGTAAGTACCGTTTACGTCTGTTGGGGTTGAGTGGAATTCGAGGTTGGAGCAGCACAGAGCAGATCCATTCATCATCAGACGCATGGTGTCCAAAAAACAGAATGCTGTAATGCAGCTGAAGAGGAGGCATGGCTTACCTGTTACAGTGGGACCAACTTATGAACTGTGCTAGTGTTGGTAGGAGCGCGGGAGAAGTATATTCTTTGTTGGCTCAGTTACTGTGGTTATAAATAAATTTACAGCTTTTATTAAAGTAGTTTCAGTAATGTGCCTTGTTTCATTGTGTATCTTGTAATTTGTATAACAGAAGCTGGCAACATGTGTAAGTTGCTTTTAGGAGGCAACTACGGTTGATACAAGGATGACACTTGGAGTTATTGAGGTCTCAGTCGAATAATCAACTGAATACTTCTGCAGGGGACTTTTTTTTGCAGTTTCTGGATACAAATATGAAGCAAGATTCAAACCAGTAATCATCATGGAGTCATTTGCTAGCAGTTAATTTCACCCAACAGAAAATGCATTACATAGACAGCAGCCTTGCAGGAATGTGTATTAACCATAGTAACTCTGTCCAGAACAATGTGAAGATCCACCCAGGCTCCTCTCCATTGATTCAGGAAGCTGTGGCATTAATTGTAACCATCTCTGTCCAGTACTAAATTTAATATGTGGAGTTTTACCTTGTGCCTATCACCAGCAGATACATCTCAAAGGATTAATCACACTCCCCCCCTCCCAAACACTTCTGTAATTTCTGAAGTGCTCTGTGAGGTTGCAAAATGCATGTTTTGCACAAATCCTTACTTCTAAGCAAGTGTGAAGTTCCAGATACAGGTCTTAATTGCAGTGGAATTTGGGTATTTTCATGTCACATTTCTGATGTTTATTACAAGATGCTGGGGCACTATGCTACAAGCCAGAAGGTCGTGGATTCAAGTCCTGATGAGGCCATTGCACTTTTTTCAATTGACCTAATCCTTCCAGCCGCACTATGGCCCTGGGGTCAACCCAGCCTCTAACAGAATGAGTACCAGGAATATTCTTGGGGGTAAAGGGCAGCTGGCACTTAGGGCTGACGACCTTGCCACCATCTATGAGCCAATTGTCTCTCAACATCTCACAACCCTATGGGCCTCCATGGCCTGTTACAGGGATACCTTTACTTACATTTTATTACAAGATGCACCAAGTGTGCTTTCTTTGTCAGTGACATGATGTATCATAACGAACTATGGAAATGAGAATTTGAATCATATCAAAAGATTCTTACTGCGACACTTGTCCATCACTCTTAACAGCTGTGGCTGTGCATCTTGGCAACAGTATGGAGTAAATTTTATAATACCTTTGGGTGTTCTCTGTTAAGTCCCTGGCAGGAAACAGAAAAGTTACATTTTGTGGATACTAGCTGTGATTAATGCTAATTTATAATGCAGTGTAACTTAAGAGAGTTTATTTCTAAACATGTAGCAGAAACTTATTGATTACATTTTTGATAAAAGAGAAGTGTTTTCTTTGGGCAGCTGATATTCATGTATTTATTGCAGAACATGATGGTCTGTCATTGTGTTCACACTCTCTGGCTTGGATCCAATCCGGAGCCAGTTTGTACATAATATTCAGAAGTTATTTCTGTCAAATTGATTTTAATAGTATCCTCCTTTCTATTCCTCTCCTTCCAAGGAGTTGCTTGCACTGGGTTTAATGAGGGAACAAAACAATGAGACAGGTGTGCAGCAGATTACATGCTACAAGAAAACAAAGTGGTTCTCAGGCTGACTTAGTATTATGAAAGACACAACTGCTGTGTATGCATAACAACAAGCTCAAAGTAATAAACAGAGCAGCAATTTGTACACTGTATATTCACATCACACATTACAAAAGAGCTTTATATAATAAAAGTATAATTACACAACAATAAGTTACAAAAATATATTATACAGTATTATACAGCAAAAGATGAAAATATCAAAGAAAATAATGCATAACCAAGAAACGTGATTTTTACAACCATTTACATAGCAAACTGCCAGTCGACAAGAGATACAAATTAAAAAACAAACTGCACAGGTAAGCTTGATAATGTCTCCCCCATTCAGTCACACATTGAAGCACTGGAATTCTGAGAACAGAACGAATGAGAATTGGGATGACAGGATTGTTCTGTGGCTTTCAGAGATCTGAGCATCTCACAGCAGTGAGTAGTGATTTTATAGTTTTCTGGGATTGGTGTCAGAGTTTTTGAGGAACAAGCCGTCTCCATTTGTATCCTAAGACGGGAGGCTGTTTCTCTGAAACGTTTGTACCCATCTACCAAAGTACACTGCATCTCACATCAGAAGATCTTAATTTCAGTCTCATTTGTTACCCAAATCCTAAATGACAGTACCTGATTATTTCATTCCCCGTTCACTGTTAGGTTCTGGCATGACTGTCCAGATTCACTCTGGGGACCAGCTGGTACAGGGTGCGCTTTGCTCAGGGCTTGAGCAGCCAAATGTGAAGCTGGCTACTAATTCTAATTCATGCCAAGCTTAAGCAGGCATGGAGCTTTACTTGTATATCCCTATATACATTCATTGCTTGGTGCAAAAGCACAGTTTACCTCCCAAATTCTACTTCCTCTTTTGCGCACAGTGGCTAACGGGAACTGCCAGATGCATGGTCAAGATATGCAGCATAACTGGCTAAATTAGTCATGAAAGAAAAATTATGTGATTTAGCCATTACAGCAGCAAAACTATTTGTCCTTCCCTTCTGAGTACATACAGGAGTCTACTTCACATCACATGACAAATTACCTGTACATTTTATCCCTTCATGTTGATATATCACAAGGAAAAGGGGTGAGAAATTGTATGAAGTTCTGATCTGCTAAAATTTGCAAGTGACAACCATTAACTATTCATGTACTGCCTTCTTCCATATTAAATAAAAATGAATCCAGTCATTTGTACATATAATGAAACTGGGAAGTATATCCATGATATGTACACAGTGGCCGTCTTGTAGTGCACTCAATTTCACTTGTTACTTCACGACATGGTTCGGCAACATAGTGCCATCATCAGGTGCCCTAATTACGCTAATCTATTGCATTGCTTGCCATTATATGTCTTTATAAAATTATTTAAAAAGTGCGTATTCATCAGCTATAATAAATTTACACACACTAAAACTTGTTAAGATTATTCATCTTATGTGTCTTAATTAAAACTTGCGTGTGGTTCTTCCACTATGGGGGTCGTTTTTCTTATATTCTGTGTAAACCATGTCTTGTAGCTGATGAATACGCACTTTTTAAATAATTTTATAAAGACATATAATGGCAAGCAATGCAATAGATTAGCATAATTAGGGCACCTGATGATGGCACTATGTTGCCGAAACATATGAAGTAACAGGTGAAATTGAGTGCGGTATAAGACGGCCACTGTATACATATCATGGATGAAAATCAGTGCAACAGGACGCTAAAATACAACATTGGGAAGTATATACTGAAATTCCAAACCTGACAGTATCAGCATCCAAAGTTTCATGAAACAAACCTTAAGAGAAAAACGAGACAACAGATGACCAGTGACAAACTATTTCAGTGCACAGCATTATTAACTCTAATTAGAAAGGTAAAAAAATTGTGTGGACACATCAACATTTTCAAGCCACAGTTAAAAGTTGCCTATTATTAATGCCAATAATTTAATATTCATTAAGGAACATGCAGTATAATTGAGGGCTGGAATGTACAAGCGTCCCTCAGCAGTTTCAGTGATATGCTTCCAGCTCCCTTGAGCCACACTCACATGAACCCAACTGTTTAACATGAAGAAGCATCTACAAACCCACAGGCACATACACATGCAGATCAAAATGAAATGAATATGAAACAGACAAATACAACTCCATGATAAACATTGTGATATAAAATATTGAAATTTAAACAAATATATCTAACAAAAATAAAGTTCATCACAAATTAGGCCTACATGAGAGACTGGCATGTGACATCTAGTTGGACGTGGTGTTCGTTGCACTTGTTCATTGTGCAGATTAATGCAGTCATCCAGTATAACAAAGTGAAGTAAGTTCAGAATCATGCCAAAACAATGTGACTCTTAAGAGTATTTTCTGGTCCTTCTTTAAGTAAACTGCACGGTATCATGTACACTTTGAGACAAAAGAATACTGACTGAAACACCTATATTCATCATAAATGTTGGGAACGATTTCTTTTCCAGTGAACCAACATGTCTGGGAAGGTCTGCAATGATTCGGTTCAACCAAACCTTACAGGCTTCTCTCCTATTGCTCTGGCCTTACAGAAATGAGAGTGAAGTAAAAAGTTGGCCAAAATGAGATAAGTGCATCACAAAATTCTGTCTCTAAGCACAGTACTCTCCATTCAGTGACAATGAAGTACATTATTGTGTTCCTTCCTTTCCTGAAAAGTGACATTTAGTGACTTAACTCACTTCCCGTAACACCTTATATACACATAATAAGAGATGGCACAGTTATTCAAACTATACATTTTTAACTTCCCATCTTGGGCACAAGACCTCTTGTCAAAGCGCTGTTAAATCTTTTACAAAATATTCCTGGAAATTCTTGCACAGCAGCAATGGAATAAATCGCTGGGATCTGAAGGTGACCACCCACCTCCGTCAACTGTTGAGGTTAAAACTCAAGTTCCCCATACAGCTTCCTGCCATGACAGGGACAACCTTAATTTTACATGAGGTGGTGTTTCTGAATGGCACCAGGACCCCATCTCCTCTCCATGCGTGTGTTTCTCCCATTCACACCACAACAATCATATCACTGCCACGTTTACTGTGCCTTCTTCCCACCTCTGGGTTTGATTGACTCAGATATCTGCCACATTGCCTCCTCACACAGGAACTCATCAAAGTTGTTGAAGAAGGCAATAATGCGTTCATGCTTCTTGAACACGTACGTTCTGTGAAAAGGCAAACAATTAAGTGTAACTAATGCAAGCACATCATCCAGTCCATTAGTAAGTTGCCTGTTTGAGATCTGCTGGGATGTAATGTCATGTAAGTCTGGCTGAGATCAATAAATCAGGTCAAACTAGTTCACGCCCCATTTCAGTATTATCCTCCCATACAGGTCAACGTCTCACAGCTCCCTGTTCTCATACACCTTCAATCTGCATACGATTTTAGGTTCTCACCAGTGGTTATGAAGTGTACTGTCTTCTAGGATATAACCCCATGTAGTCCACTGAAAGTCAACCGACATTTTGGAGGAACATGTCGCCTCTATCTTCAGGTTCAAATAAACCAGCTTACCACCTTTCATGGTGGTATCTTGGTTGGCTTATTTGGCCCTGAAGATAGAAGTGATATGTTCCTCCCAAACGCTGGTTGACTTCCAATGGATTATATGGCATTATATCCCAGAAAACAGTACCCTTCACCCACAATCTGTGTTTGTTTCAAAAGTGTGAAGCAAGCTCCCTCCCCTGTCAGACATTGGATGCTTAATACCTTACATTTGTTTGATTAAGACCTAGCATTTGTTGATTTTAAAAATGGAAAACTGGAAAAGCTGTTCTTCATACAGACACAAGAAGTGGGGTGCCATTATGTAAAGTTTGGAAACCACTGCCTCAATGTGAATGACAAAATTTCACACCCATATAAGCCTACAAAAATAATTATAATCTGGGTGAGTGACAGTGTATCGGTGGCTGCCGCTATTTTCACCTTGGCAATAACTTCTACACATTTTCCAAACATAAGTAGTGCCCTTCCACATGCAGAGTGAGACACCTGTCCTGAATCTGGAATAATAAGGTACTTGCCCCTTCTTGAATCTCTTCATGTTCTCAACAATGTTAAACTGCTGCCAGCGTTTTGAGAAGTTGATGGAGCCATCTGGGAGCAGGTCACTGTTTCCGATGTGAACAAATGTAAGGTCCTGCAGCACCAGACCTCTGTAACATACATGCGCTCCTGATTAGGTGTGCAATGCAATGAACCTTTCACATACATGGAAGTGGCCCTTAGACAGGGAATCAGCACTTCACAAGGACAACTCAGAAACACAAACACAGAGCAACAGACCACAGAGAAGAGGCAGTAACAGTTACCAACACAATAAGAAATAAACAGCTGCAGGCAGATCTCAGAAAGGCAACTTTCCTATCACACAGGTTGCCAGTACCACAAATGCAATGCTATGTTTATTTGACATAACTTTTATGATCCAACAATAAAATGTAATTTAGCTCATACTGTAATGCACTGGACTCGTGTGCAGATCATACAACTGTATCCTACCTGGGTCACATTTTTTCATTGTTACTTGAAACTGCAAATATGTTGCAGAATGCTACTGCTACTACATCATGTCTGGATGAAAGGTATCCAAAATAAAATATTAATACCTCAGAAACCAATTGCCATACACATCTGGTTTATGTCATTGGAAAGGAAAATTCTGTTCCGTGTGCATCAGCTGGTGACCTCTGGCAAGCCCAGAAACGATTTCAACACCACAGGAACAGATTCAAAGTGTGTTGTGGCTAGCAGAGTTTCGATCTCTTATGGTTATCCAGCATCATTTTAGGACACAATATAAATGTCAACCTCCTATTCAGAAAAGCATTTGATCCTGGGAACAAGAAACTGAGAACTACAGGTAGTTTGTTGCATGTAAAATCTCCTGGAAAGGCAAGGACCTCTGAAGAAAATGTCAATCACATTAGAGGCATTCCAGTGAAGTCCATACAATTCAATTTGTATTGCTAGCTTTCAGTTACACATTCCATGTTGAACATTGCATGATATGCTAGACAAAAGGCTCCGCCTATGAGCATAAAAGATTCAAATAATTCATCCACTAAAACCGAGTGACTGGACATGCTAAAAAGAATTGACACATCACCAAATTTCCTCCGCCATGTGTGCTTCTATGATGAGGTGACATTCCATGTCAGTGGAGTTGTAAACAGGTATAACTGCAGGATTTGGGGCAGTCAAAATCCACAGGTCACATGTGAGTTGGTGAGGCAACCCTAAAGTGAACATGTGGGCCAGCTTAATGCACAACACATTGATTGAACTGTTTTTCTTTTCAGAAAAGACTGTGATTGGATGTTCGTACTTGGACATGCTGGAGCTGTATGCACTGCCCCAATTACAATCTCAAACTATCCAACAAGATGGGGCACCACCATGTTAGAATCACCTGGAGAGTGAGATGGATTGGCAGAGGCGGACCAACTGCTTGGCCTTCCAGGTCACCAGATTTACCCCCACTGGATTTTTTCTTGTGGGGTTATGTGAAGAACATTTTCTACCAGGTTAAGATCAATGCCCTTCAACGCCTGAAAGCCTGCATAAGGGATGCTGTGGCTACAGTAACACCACACATGCTTCAAGCAATGTGGAAAGAGGTCAAATATCATCTGGATTTTTATCATACCACCAAGGGAGCCCACACTGAAATTTACTGAGAAAATTTACTGCTCAGAAAAAAACTCTGATAGTTTCCCTTTGTAATGGTGTAACCCATAAATGTGTATAATAAATGCTTTCTGAGATATAATGATTTTACTAAAAGAATATGATTTGAGGTAGTCTACACAACAATAAGTTCAGAAAATAAACAAGCTAGACACTGTCATGTCAACATCTGCTTTATTTTGCTGTTGATATTGTTGCTAGATGTTTTGAACCTTACCTGGGTCATCTTCAGGCATATCTGAATACTTGGTGACAGATATCTGAGTTGTGTCATTTATTCAACATGAATTCATATTATGACTATATTGTTACACTATCCTAATAATACACTTTGATATTTAAAATAGTTAAGACTTGACATAAAAATAATATTGAACAGGTAACAAATTAACAGATGTAAAATTAAAATTACAGTTGAAATTCCCGGTTAATATGACTAATAACAGTCAATACTGTACGTCTAACTTTTGTAACCGCAACATATCTTAACGTGTGATGATATTGTCATGTTACAGTATTAATATTGTGGTGTTGGGAACTGCATGTTGAAATTTTTCTGTAGCTCTCTAGGTCATGTTGCTTTTTTTTTAGAAAGTTTCCTATTAAACGTGCGAGGCAGAGCCCATTGTTCAGCATATCTTTCTTGTGTTGTATATATATGGGTGGGATGTTTCATTCTGGATACCTATAATCTGGACACACTCTATTTTTTTTTTATGATTATGTCTTGAATTCAGGTAATGCTTGCTACCAGTCAGTCCAGAACCTTTTGTCTTCTCGTCTGCTGTCCAAAAACATAAAAATCAGAATATACAAAACTATAATTTTGCTTGTGGTTCTGTATGGGTGTGAAACTTGGTCTCCGACATTAAGGGAGGAACACAGACTGAGGGTGTTGAGAATATTTGGACCGAAGAGAGAGAGATGAAGTGACAGGAGGTTGGAGAAAACTGCATAATGAGGAGCTTCATAACTTGTACTCTTCTCCAAGTATAATTAGAATTATCAAGTCAAGGAGGATGAGGTGGGCAGGTCATGTAGCACGAATGGGAGAGACGAGGGATGTGTACAGGATATTGGTTGGAAAGCCAGAAGGAAAGAGACCACAGGGAAGACCATGGCGTAAGTGGGTGGACAATATTAGAATGGATCTTGGAGAGATAGGATGGGATGGTATGGATTATTGGATACATCTGGCTCAGAATAGGGACCAGTGGAGGGCCCTTGTGAACACAGTAATGAACCTTCAGGCTCCATAAAATGCTGGGAAATTCTTGAGTAACTGTGGAATTGGTGGCTCCTACAGAAGGGCTCAGCTCCATGAGTAAGTAAGTAAGGCCTTTGTGGCCTGTAACAGTCCACAAAGGCCCATAGGGTTGTGAGACATCGAGGCTCCCGCATTTTCTAAACAATCTGCTCACAGATGGTGAGGCTGTCAGCCGCCCTTTAACCCCCCCCCCCCCCNCACACACACACAGGAAAAGTCCTGATACACATTTCTGTTAGAGGCTGAGTCGACCCCAGGGCCACAGTGCAGCTGGAAGGATTAGGTCAATTGAAAAATCCAATGACTTCATTGGGATTTGATCCTGTGACCTTTCGGCTTGTAGCATAGTGCCTCAACCAACTACCGTGTATCTGTCAGACATAGCCCTCAAAATTCATTGAGTTCTCATATTTCTACCTATCAACTAGTAATGTCTGCTTCTGTCTCCATACCAAATTTCATATTCTAACCCCCTGAGCAGTTCATCAGTTACTGCAATATCCCAAGAAGCTAAATAAAATCCATGCCTCATTTTACATTCTACAAAAAAAAAGAAATACCTCAGGATATTTTGCACAGTTTTGAAGATATAATATCATACATAATTTCTGGACCCTAGAAAAAGCATTTCCCACCACAGAAGTCTACACATATGCCATACTGTTTTTACTAGTTGTAGCAAATTATGAAGGATGGGGTTTAGGTGGCCTCCAATATTCATAGAAACCTTGAGAAAGTTGGTCAAATGGTAACACACAGAGTTGCATACTTGTTTTCCTTAAGGAAAGAAAGTATGCTGAAACTGTCAGAATAAATGGCCAAGACATTTGGACACAGTGCCTGAAACCAAATGCCCAAGCCAGTTTGCAAATTTTTATACGCCTTTTTTGTAGGCTATTTAACGATTCTTTCAGAAATAAGACTGTGTAGCACCATATGGCAGGATGACAGATAGTGATAATGAATTCAAAAGGACATGGAAGGAAGCACTCATAGCCTAATAAAGCTACTATCATGGCATTTGCCTGGAGAGACAGCAAAACAAGCAAAAGACCTCAAACCTGGTGTTCCAGCTGAGATTCAAATTGAGCACCTCCCAAATACAAATCTGGAAGAACATTATTGGTAGACCATCCTGTTTGGTTAACCTTTACATTTTGAGCCTTCAGAACCCAGTATATTGGTTAACATTTGTGAACACAGAACCAAGGTGTGGCTGCGATGCTCATAGGTATGAGTCCTGTCTTCAGAAGGGATGTTCCTACTCACACATCTAAGGAAGTTACTATATGACTCACATATAAGGTATACAGGGAGGCTGAGTCTCAGCCAGTGCCTGCCTGTATGCTCGAAAACTGGATGAGCTGTCGATGAGCGCGCAGTACTCCTTGAGGCCCTCTGTGATCTGTTTCTGCCACTCCAGTCGTCGTATTGGAGCTGAATCGAGTGCAGACAGCAATGCCAAATATGAGTTAAAATTATTTATCTTACGTAGGTGCTTCATGATCTTGATGAACTTCACTACGTAACGCTCTCGATCCTTAGCTTCGTTCTGCTCCAGGATTCTTGACCTCGCCCTGAACATGGAAGACAACAGGCATTACTAACTTCACAGATGGTTAACCTTTATCGGACGGGCCATTTAATTTCCGGTAGGGGCAGCTGGACGGAGTTTATTTAAATGCCCGCCCTTCTAGAGCAATGAAATTGTAAGCATGTTTCTAAAAATGGTGTGATTTCTACATTTTTTATGATAAATGAACGAAATGAACGCTCCTTTAATGTAGAAAGAATATAGAATCAGATATTCTAATTTACAGATTTTAATATCTGTAAAAATTTTTTACACTGATTCCCAAAAAAAAAATTTCCCGAAATTCATACATTTTCTGCACCATGTGTTCTAGCAGTGTAATACATTTTTTGCACCATGCGTTTTAGCAGTGTAAGTCCTTGTGGCGACTTCACATTCAATGGTGTCTCTTGTTGAAGCTTATTTATCGTATGGGACATACGATAAATCGCTCGCTGTGTAATGTGTTAGATAGACAAAGGAGTTAATTCTCGGAATATGGTGCTGCCAGATCGGTAATTCGTTCATTTATTGCAGTCAAACCATTGTGTTTGTAACGATTTTGAAACATCGCAATATAAGATTAGCCAGCCATGACATCATGTACCATGTTTGAGGCAGATATTCAGTTCAGCCAAGACGTGAATGAGATTTTTGTATGTGTGGGCTCGAGGTCATGATTTATGGCTTCTTATCTTGGTCTAAGCACAGAGATTCACTGCTAGAGAGCGGTATAGTTCACCATGGCCACACGACGACGTCGTATGGAAGATGCTGAAATTGAGAAACAGCTGTTCAATGACACAGATTTGGACTGCTATTCAACCGATTCTGAGAGTGGCGAGGAAAGTTGGAGTTCTGATTCTGCGGACGAAGGGTCATCACCTTCATCGGCAACTTGGGGACCGCCAGACCAGTGTGGCTGGAGAGGTGTGAATAATTATTCCGGTGTAGCTGCGGATATAAATATCACGGCAGCTCGACATCACTGGCCTGCTTCCTCTAAATCGCAACTGAGGTGTCGTGTGTGCTCTTCGCGTGGGAAGCGGTCTAGCGTTTGTACGAAGTGCGTGAGCTGCGACGTCGGACTCTGCATTTCGGAATGTTTTCGGCAGTACCATACGAAGGCCACATTACCATAGATGATGCAGGAGGGAAGGCTGTTTCCTCATGAAGATGGTGAACATATATCACGTAAGTAGAGCAAAAATTTAATTTTAAATTCAATTTTAAAAAGATCTTTACACACATGCAATGCGCGAAATCACATGAGGTCGTTCGGCCATATGACGTCGGTAGATTACATTAGATAACACAGGAGGGAAGGCTGTCACCTTATAAAGCTGGTGACCATAAATCATGTAAATAGAACAACAATTTATATTTTAAATTTAATTTTAAAAAAATCTTTACACGCGTGGAATGCGCGATATCATATGATGTCGTTTGGCCATTTGGCCTTACTTTTAACCTCATATGACGTCGCTAGATTACATTAGATCATGCAGGAAGGAAGGCTGTCTCCTTATAAAGGTGGTGACAAAAAATCATGTAAATAGAACAACAATTTATATTTTAAATTTAATTTTAAAAAAAACCTTACATGCGTGGAATCCGCGACATCATATGATGACGTTCGGCCAGCTGCCCTAACTTTTAACGACATCATATGATGACGTTCGTCCAATAAAGGTTAATTAATCATACCCTAACATGATAATAAAAAACTGGGGTCACAAAGCTTACTGGGTAACAGGGCAAAGGCTTATCACCAAGTTGCCCATCCTGCAGCTCTGCTGGTATAATACTGGCATGCTGTTATGCATACCAAACCACTCATAATTTTGCACAAACAAGCACAATGTTACCACCATCCACCTGGTCACATCCACTTCAAACACTACTGATCACTAACAAGGTAAAAGAACTTGGGCAGCACTGTAAAGAATGTGTACAGTGCTGTCTAGTCAGGTGGACATGGTGTCACTGACTTTGGGTGAATGGCAGAACATGAGTCATTCAGCACCATATACTTGTACTTGCATGAAACAATGGGTAAAGCATAGGGCTGGTTGTTATTCTCACCAGTAGGACATCTTGTTGAAGTGCTCAGTGAAGCGTGTCAGATTGGGGCTCCGTTCCTCATTCTGCTCCTGCGCCCAGATCAGAACCTCAGGAATCTCAATCTTCATGAAGAGTTCAGCATCCAGCAGGGTCATCTGTTCAGCTATCTGTTCAGATTTGAAGTCGAGTAACAAGGCTTGCCTGAACAGAGATAAGTTAGTCAGTTTGTGATCATGCTGGCCCTTGGTCAAAGTCTCAAGACCAAATAAACACAGCTCATTACCTAGTGTAGATGTTCAGAGAGGACAGCAGCATGCTGGAAGCACTGTACAAGCGCTTTGCGTTGCACTTCTCTATTATCTTGACACGCAGAGCCTTGGCCATCGTCAGGTCTCCACTACAAAGGAGTTGGTACACAAAGTCCATCAGCGACTGTAGCAGCAAGCTGTCCAGGTCAGACATCCTGCACAACAACCAAAATATCAATCTTGCTGGTCCCTGCACCCGTGTCACTACCCATGTGTTTCGTTCTGCTGGATCCCACTGACATGGCATTTAACTTCACCACCGAAGACAAATGTTTAGTTTCTTTTGTTCTCAACAGGGGCCACGAGTAAAGGTCATAAAAATGGGGGGCCATGGAAACTGTTAAGTGGGCTATGAAAATTCCACTTAGAAAATAAAATTATTAATAACATATAAAGAAATAAAAATGCCAAACGGTCAGTACATATACGTAGCACGTCCACAAAGTAAGTTTTCCACTCATTCCACAGCTAGAAAACCTTATATTGCGCGAAGCGACTGCGCGTACATGACAGAGCAATGACGTAGCATGGTGCATGCACAATGCACAGTAGCATCGTTGCAGCTGTTGAAGATGGAGGCTCTTATTCCAAATTCCGCCGACTGTGAAGTGAGGTCAGTGATAAAGTTTTTCAGTGCACAGAGCATAGCGCCGATCGAAATTCATCACCAGCTGTGCGGGGTCTATGGGCCTAACGTCATGAGCAAGCAGATGGTGCGTTGCTGGTGCAGACAATTTTCAGCAGGTCAACAAAGTGTGCATGGTGAGAAGCGCAGTGGGCGGCCATCCATCATTACCGACGACCTGGTGGAGCTTGTGCCGGAACGCATTATGGAGAATCGTCACGTCACAATTGCGGAACTCAGCAGTCATGTCCCGCAGATTTCCCGCTCCTTGCTGCACGAAATTGTCACGGAGCCCGTTGTTAGGAAATTGTGCGCCAGGTGGGTGCCGAAGCAACTGACACCAGAACACAAACAGAGCGCATGGAGTCAGCATTGACCTTTCTGCAGTGGTACCATGATGACAGCGACGAGTTTCTGTACCGGATCATCACAGGTGATGAAACGTGGATTCCACACATTACCCCAGAAACCAAGCAGCAGTCAATGCATTGGCATCATAATGGATCTCCCTGTAAGACGAAATTCAAGCAGACGTCAGCGCAGAAAGTGATGTGCACGGTATTCTGGGACAGACGGGGTGTTCTCCACATCGACTTCCTGACCAGAGGTGAGACGGTGAATGCTGAGCATTACTGTGAAACACTGCAGAAATTGCGACGGGTCATTCAGAAGAAGCGGTGCGCGATGCTTAGTGCCGGTATTGTCTTCCTGCACGATAACGCTAGGCCGCACACGGCTCGACGGACAGCAAGTCTCCTGCAGGAGTTCAGCTGGGAGGTGTTTAATCATCCACCCTACAGCCCGGACCTCACTCCCAGTGATTTCCATCTTTTCCTACACCTCAAGAAATTCCTGTCCGGTGAGTGTCAGCGTTTTGAGAATGACAGAGAGGCGGAGATGGTTGTCACACAGTGGTTCCAATCCCAGGCGGCAGACTTCTATGACACAGGCATTCAAAAGTTGGTCCCACGGTATGACAAATGTCTCAACTCCGGTGGCGATTATGTTGAAAAATAGCTGAACACTTGCTGTATCTGTTGCAATAAATATTTCCATGAAATTATGTTTTGTTTCTGTAAACGGCCCCAGGGAAACTTACTTTGTGGACGAACCTCATAATAACACAATAACTCAATATCCTTGTTTTTGTATACCTTACTTAGAAGGGACATAACCTGTTATACTTAAATCACAATCTTAGATCTGGGAATTCCAAGCACTGGTGAACAGGTACTCGCCTTCTCAGAGGGGGCAAAGCCCTGACAAAATGGTTAACTGGAAAAATGATCCCTTATTTGCCTAAATATCTCCTACTCCTCTTGTGAATTTTACCCCCACCACTTCAGTGAATTTCAGGTGTTCCTTAGTTCATTTGGAAGAAAACATTTTTCTGTGAAAGTTCTATTATTGTGGCACTTCCCTATTTTGGGGTAAGTTACAAACCCCAGCTACTGTTTTCTGACAACTACACATTACATTTCATAATAACTTGAACTTTCTTTACAAATACACTCATGGCTTTCAATAGAACTTGAATACCCTCCTTCTACAAAAGAAAAATGTTGTGAATTTATTACAGCAGTTTGTATTTATTTTTAAGTAGAATGGTTTCAAAATTAATTTTTATGGATACTGATTTTCAAAATTTTCCACATCTTTAAAAAATTTAGAAATATGGCAATCATAAATTTTAAAAATTCAAACTGCCAAGAATTGTTTGTTTCCATGGACCAGTTTGCTTGGTTTATATACAAAGGTACAGATAAAATTTAAAAGTAAACTTATCCCTGTAACAGGCCGTGGAGGCCCATAGGGTTGTTAGATGGTGAGGTTCCCACATTTTCTAGACAATCGGCTCATAGATAGCGGTAACATTCATTTATATAGATATCCATGTTTTATTCTGCTATTTATTTTGATTGCCCACTCCTGGAACTGAAAAATTATTTAATTCAAATATTATATTTTTTCCATTAATTTAATATGGCAGATTGAAATAATAAGTAAAACACGGTGTAATAATGAATGGTGAAAAACTGAAATTGTTATTAGCACTAATGATAAATACACTGCTCCACATGATTATTGCATCACCTACCGTCCTCTCAACTTGGAGGCATTAAGAAACACCTTTTTTATTATTAACATTCCTCATATTATAAACAAATAATACATGTTACAAATAAAAGTGCAGTTGATAAACTACGTATGTTTTAAATATTACATTTATTATATATAAACAATATGAGTATATATCAAGTAGACATCATTATATTTAATGTACACTTGTACCTGGGAGGTGTCCAGTTCAAATCACAGCCAGGAAACTTGCTACCCTGACTGAGATCTTGTGTGGCTTTCCTTAGACCCTCCAGGCAAATGTCATGATAGAATCTAAATTCGGCCATGACCACCTCCTTCAAAAATTCTTTCCATTTCATCAACCATTCTACTATTTGACTGTATGTAGTATAAGAGAATGACAGCGTCATAAAACACCCTCTCCCCCGCCCCATACACATACATACATATACACACACACACACACACTCACTAAGTATAGCAGTGCCCAAAAGGCAATTTACTTCTGGCTGAGATAATGGTCTTCTGGATGTGACACCATGTAGTTTGGCATGTACATAAGTACTGACATTTTAGAGGAATGTGTCTTCAAGGCTGACGATGGAGGCAGCTGGTGCCTGTCTACATACCAACCAGCACCGCATCACATCCAGAAGACTGTACCCTGAATACTCACTACTGTGTGTGAGAACCTCAGATTTCTGATCGGCTTCTTTCTCTCAATGCTATTGATTTTACTCTATACTTTATTTCAATAAAAGGACATTCCCACATACAAAAAGAATGTATTTTGAGTTGTGACAGAGACAGTATGCAAAAGGGAAAAGGTGCAAAAAGGAGTGCCTCCCCATGCAGCCATTTCTTCAGAACAAAAAATAATGCCATAATTAGAGCAGAATTGCTGAATTATGTAAGGACAAGACCTACACCACTCCCAACTAAACCACAAAACCTTAGTAACCAACCTACGGTTGTCACAGGGTATCCAGACACATGGCACACTCACGTGAGATCACTGACTACTCTGACTAGAAGAGAGAATGCTTCTCGGGCCGCCCGTTGCTTCACCATGTCTGATGAGCAGCTGAACCGTTCATGCCTATGGCACAGCTTCCGAATCAAATCCAATGGAGAGAGGAATGTGCGGTACGTTGTCAGGAATGCCTCTTGGTACAGGAAGTCTGGAAGATCACAATCATTCCTTGCACATTCCAACTACACAGCAAAACATGCAAAATGTGGGCTGGAAGAATCACATGACTACGACCATCTTGGCAGGTGTCATTATACTAGAGTAAATAGAGCTTGCATAGGTAGAACTTGGGACACTGTGGAACATAAGCTCATACTTTTAGGAAATATTACAGGAAACAAGACAATAAGAAACAAATAAACATGAGAGAGAATTGAAAGATAAATACCTTGAAAGATATTTCAAAACATTATACAATACGAAGGTGCAGACAAATTTTAAAATGAATGGAAACCGAAACCCACAGAAAGATCTGAACATAACGCCTGGGGGGGGTTCACTCATGAGAAATGGGAATGACAGATTTGGAAATATGTCATACAGAAGGAAGGTAGAAAATGGGAAGCAAATATAGAGGAGGAGGTTTGAGAATACACATATGGAAAGGTCTCTTGCCCAAAAACCAACATAAAGTGGAAATTTTCGAGGAGGTAGAGCTACGGAAGTCAAGTGGACCACAGGGGCTCAAGAAGATGCCAACTAATAGTAGCAGTGTTGTGGTGCTTCAGAACATCAACTGTGCAACAGTCGTACCTGTCTCATTTTCCTCTTCAGTTCCATAAGCATAAAACAGAAAAAATATATACATATTTCATTATTCAGTATACAACAGAGAGCCTGCAACATGCTACATCTGTTTACAAACTGAAACTCACCATTCTTGTTCGCCTTTGTGGCATGTATGATAAGCGCATCAGGATGCCCACCACGAACATCAGGACCCTCTTCATCAGGCTTCTTGATGACTAGATATTTTGTGATGTCCAGTTGTTCAAGGGGGCTGCTCTCATCTGTCAGCTCTGATTCACTATGTTTTGCTTGCACACTATTGGTCCCCAGGGCCACTGAGGCAGGTAGTTCTAACTTCCATGCTGCTGGCCCCTTTGTCTCCTCCTGACTACAACAATAAAGGATTGTATATTGATACAGCTTCATGAAGGCAACTGATGGATGGCTTCAACAGACAAGCACAGTGTCTGCAAACCAGTGTCAATGTGCATCAGTACAAAGAATACTTCAGATTTTGGGAACAAAATTAATATAAAAATTTTATATTAAATGTATATGTTATTATAATGGGCAAGTGCATAAATACCATAAAGAGAAGAAACCAGAAACACATTCATATGCTATTTGGGCGAGTGATCTATAAGTAATCAGTGACACAACTATGTATATATTCATGTCTAATCAAAGGAATGTTGGACAAAATATTAACATAAAGACAACTAATAAATTCTTCAAAGATGTGTCACATTTGAAATATTTCACAACAGTTAACTTGCAGTTTGTGACTACTGACTTTAAAGAAGATGGATTCTGCAGTACCTTGTCTGAGTGATGTCCAAATCTGTTGGGAAGGGCTGCCCCTCCTGCTGCGATCTTGAGGTTACAGGAGGTGACGTGGGTGGAGGACTAGCTGTTGACTTTATGCTGGATGTGCGACTACGTTTTGGTGGCAGAGCAGGGGGGTGTCCAGGTGTCTCCTTCAGAGAGGAACTTGACACATCGATACTGAAACACATTTCACATCCAGACAGTTGGTACTACCACCAAGCCTAGTGCTCTGTACAGAAGTCATACTGTCATATGAGCTACAACACAGGATCAGACCACAGCATACTGACCTCCCGGAGAGCACCCCAGAACTGTGAGACGAGACCACGGAGAAGGAACATGAGTGAGTCGATGTGAGTGACATCTCCTGCTGCTGCCACTCAGCCTGTAGCAAGTTGTAGGTGTGCACTGAGTGGCGCAGGAACTCGTTGGTGTTTGGACGTGAACAGTTGCCAAACATCTCCATGTATGCCATAACTGCAAATGACATATCATTCAGCCTAAAGGCCTTGCCAACATCATCATCACATCTCAGCCTTTGAAGTGACTACTTTCCAAAATGTTTCTTGACCAGAATTCATTCATCAGAGCTACATATGTCCACCCATCATAACCACTCTTATCTGATTTTGCTTTGAGCTCTATAAATCACAGGTTCCTCATTACCTTCAACAAGCACCAACTATCTTAAGCTCAACACTGCCTTCAGAAATTGTTCAGTTTCTAACTTTCATACTGTTTGCCCAGATTACCAGTAATATTTGTAAGATCTGAAGTTTGAGCAGCTGTGAATATTCATCTGGAGGTGTTCTGGGTAATCACAACACTGTGATGCAGACCTGTAGGAAGGTACACACAATTCAAAGAACCATACTGCCACCATCTTAAGGCAGCTGATTTCATGACAAGTTACAATGATTTGTGTTCCCACCATCACCACTGTTGCCTCTTCTATAATTAAACAGCAGTGAAAGAATATACCACCTCATGTCACACATAATTCTGATTACTGAAGGAGACAAACAAGATGGCATGTTTGCAGTAACACTATTTTCCGGTTCAAACCGTCCGTGTCCTTTCATAGCTTTCATGACTTTCGCGAAAACAAACCGCTTCACTCGTTTCATGTCTTACTCTACTCTGAAAGAGAGATGATGCATGCATCAGACATTCAACAGACAAAGCTACAGGTTTCCAATTATTTCTAGTGAGAGGTAGGCAACAGCAAGCTTGTGCAAAGTGTTACCAAGTCACAAGTATACACTGCCGGTTCTTGCTTTTAGTATGAGTCAAGCTGAACTAGATCTCACAGCAATGCAACCTCAGCACTGACACCATCATGTTTGAATCCCAGTATATAGAGACAACAATATGGCTCAAGGATGTAGCACAGAAAGAGAGTCCCAGTTGCATTATCCAACTGCATCACATCAAGAGACTGGCTGGTAGTTAACAGTTGGGTAGCAGTGCACTACAATTCAGTGCAACACAACAAATTGCATAGATTTGAAAGCACACATTGGGAAAAAGAAGCTCAACTGCGCTTGTGACATCTGTGGGACTCAAAGGCTCTTATGGTATGTGATGTCATGCAGTTAGGTTTTTCTGGGGCAGCATGTTCCCTCTGAAACACCTGTGCCTATCTACCAAACTGCACAGCAACCCATCCAAAAAGCCCATAGTCTTAGCATGAAGTACACTTGTCCAAGTCCATTTCTTACACATTGTGAAAAAGACAGCACAAATGTGTCAGCAGTTAAGTTGGTGGAGAGATGTGAGTCACAGGCTGGAACTCCTGCTTCACTTCTGGGAGGTCTTGGGTTTGAATCTCTGCCTAGAGATTGGGTGTCTTGAGAGAGATATTTAATGGGCTTCACCAGTCCCTCCAAGCAAATGCTATGACAATCTTAAACAGGTAAAAACCTCATCCACCACAATACACTGTTCAAAATGAAGCAATTAGTGCAGCAGCATAACCTCAGGAGCATAACACAAAGATGTTAAAGTGCTACATTTAATAATATTGATTTGGACTTTATCCAGGGTCCTGGTTCTTTATATAAAAGACGTATAAATGGGCTTTACTTCCATCCTCAGAAGAAAATGACAGGAGGAATGTCAACCCTACTGAACCCTTAGACAAAAATGCTCTCATGCCCTGGAATCTAATCAGCTAAGTTCACACAAAATACATTGGGGTTGTGACATAGTGGACAATGCCAATGGGACAACACTAACACACACTGCACTACTAACACTAATACTGGGAACAAAACAAAACAAACTGAACACAAAAGGGTGTGTCCTAGTAACGAGAAGGGGACGCAGCACTTACCAGAGTAAGCCACTGACTGGAACACTGGGAAACAGAGACAAGCAAGTTAGTTGACAGTACAGTGGGCCATCATAATGAGGCACGGCCCCACGCAATGTTGCAACTGTGTCGGGCTCTGCCTCTCTATACACTCAACTTTGCACACACATATAAGGTCATATAACACTCACTGTGTTTCTTCTTCAGCGGTAGCGGCGGTGGTTTCCCATCTGGACTCTGGCAGCTGCCATGCTGAATGGTCTGTGACTGATGCACGCTGCAACTCTGAACACGATGCACCCGACAGAACTCGTCTGTTGCATCTGACGGAACATTGTCATATGTAGACAACTGTCGGTCTCTCCGCTGTTTTGGCCTTGTTTTTTCTGGCAATGCAGGTGGGACATTTGGCAGAGAGTCTCCATCTGGGGAAATGCTCCTTGCCACATCACTATCAACATTCTGTTCTGTGTGGTGAAGGGAGGGGACCAGCCTCTGCATTTGTGCCGTGGCAACACTGGACTCTGTGGTGGTGCGCTGCACCTGCCAGATCTTGTTGCTAGTTGATTCGGTGCTCATGTATGACACTGAACTCTGCTGTGAGGAGCGGGAACTAATCTGCTGTGATGATGTGTAACTGTGGCTTGAGCTGTGCAGAGAATGCATGGACGCAAATCCCGATTCTGCATGTGAAGACGAGAGTGTGCCAAGCGATGTGTCAAACCCTGCAACAATTTAAACAAAGTGTTTACTTCAACATCATAGGTCACACCATAGCTCAAAATGTTAGTGGCTGGCTTCCACCGTGGCGGCCCAGGTACAAACCCAGGTCTGGTCAAGTGGGATTTGTGGTGGACAAAGTGGTGCTGGGGTAGGTTTTCTCCAAAGTACTTCAGTTTCCCCTGCTAATCTTCATTCCACCAAGTTCACCATCATCATAATCACCTGGGGCAGGTATAATAGGCCAATCAGTGGCTTCCGTGCCGAGTGGACCCAACTGGACTCCACCCCCCACTATGCTAAAAAATTACTTCAACATCAGAGAACTATTTTCACCCTTAACATTGATTTCTGCTTCTTTATGAAGCTTATATTATATAACAAACTTTATGGAAGAGACTTGTTCTTGAGAATCTCATGCTTCCGCACCTGATCAAGAAATTCCCTTCAACTTATGGAACACACAAATTCATTAGTGTCCACAGGAGCATACCACTGGACTCTACACTTTGCTACGTGAATCCAATCCATATCCCATGTCTTTATGATCCACTTTAATATTATCCTTCTCTATATATATAGGGTGTCCCAGGAGGAATGTGCCAGACTTCAGGAGGGTGTTCCTTATGTTAAAGTATGCCGATATAACCCAAAACACCTATGTCCAAAGTTGAACGGTTACGGAGATAATGGCCCGAGAAAAGTGTATTCTGGCGGGTCAACGCACTGTACCAGTCAGCTGACAGTTCTTATCTATGTTTGTCCTTGAGTGTGGTGATTCACACTAGCCGTAAGCTTATGTGCTACCTTCAGGGTACGTTGCGGCTGCGTCACGAATGGTTGGTGAATCAGTTGTGTGGAGTTGCTGAAATGCCTTTCGTGTTTTCACATGTGGAATATTCTGATATGCATTTTGTGTGTGGATTTTGCGGTGGCAATGCACGTGCTGCTGTTGAAGAATACCAAAGGTGTTTTTCCCATCGAAGGATTACATGTCGAAGTGTATTTACACGAATTCACCAGACATTGCGTGATACTGGTTCTCTTCTGAATGTTTCTGTGCACTCTGAAGGTAGGATGTACGAATGATGAACACACGAGAGAACATTCTTGAGATGGTTCAGAGAAGTCCGCGTCTGTCCACTCGTAGAATGGCCTCTCACATCAGCGTATCGCATATGCAGGTGTGGCAAACTTTACATGATGAAGAGTTGTATCTTTACCATGATCAAAGGGTACAACATCTGGAACCAGGCGACCATGCTAAGCCGATGGATTTGTGCCACTGGATAAAAACTCATCTCAAACTGTTAAGCGTAATTTTATTCAGTGAGGAGGCGTCTTTTACCCGGGACGGTGTAAATAATTTATGAAATGTGCATAAGTGGTCACATAATAATCCACATGAGATAATGGTAACGAAATTCCAAAAGAGATTTTCTGTGAATATATGGTGTGATGTGCTTGAGAATAGGTTGCTCGGACCTTTTATGTTTCACAACAATTTAATTGGAAACACGTACGATGCCTTCCTGAGGAATGAGTTACCATGTTTGTTGGAAGACATCGTGTTAACGATAAGGAGCCAAATGTACTTCCAACATGATGGGGCTCCCCAACATTACACTCAGCACGAGAGACACTACTTAGATGAATCCTTCCCTAACCGCTGGTTAGGTCATGGTGGTCCCATTGCATTGCATGTTACATCAGTGCTTGCCACTCATGTGTCATGTATAGTGCTTGGAAACCTAAGGACAACTATGATATGGCGAACGAGTTTTTTGTAGTTCAATTTAATGGCTTCATGTCACTCACAAGTTAGTTTGAAGTTACATACATTATTAACATTACAGAAACCACATATTCCTGCCAGTTTTAATATGTATTTGGTAATCAACAAGTGGGTAACACCTGTCAAAGTTTCACACTTCTCTAGCCATTATCTCCATAACCGTTCAACTTTGGACATAGGTGTTTTGGGTTATATTGGCATACTTTAACATAAGGAACACCCTCCTGAAGTCTGGAACATTCCTCCTGGGACACCCTGTACATATATACAGGTGTCCCAGGAGGAATGGACTAAACTTCGGGAGGGTGTTCCTCCTGGGACACCCTGTACATATATACAGGTGTCCCAGGAGGAATGGACTAAACTTCGGGAGGGTGTTCCTTATGTTAAAGTATGCCGATACAACCCAAAACACCTATGTCCAAAGTTGAACGGTTACGGAGATAATGGCCAGAGAAGTGTCAAACTTTGACCGGTGTTACACACTTGTTGATTACAAAATACATATTAAAACTGGCAGGAATATGTGGATTCTGTAATGTTAATAATGTACGTAACATCAAACTAACTTGTGAGTGACGGAAAGCCATAAAATTGAAGTACGAAATACTCGCTCGCCATGTCATAATTGTCCTTAGG